AGAGAGAGAGAGAGAGAGAGAGAGAGAGGGGAGGGGAGAGAGAGGGAGAGAGAGAGAGAGAGAGAGAGAGAGAGAGAGAGTGTGTGTCCCTGGGTGGATCTGTGTACACTTCACGCCACGAAGATAGTGCAGCTCAACAAGAGTGAAACACAAAATGCTAAATGTAATCAGAGAATAGATCACTTCAGATGACAGCTATAGTGTGCTAGAGATTAGAGGGCGTCAAGGAGGGTGTGAAACGGAAGGGGGCTCTTGTATGTACGTGTGTCTGTGTGTATATATGTGTGTGTGTGTGTGTGTGTGTGTGTGTGTGTGTGTGTGTGTGTGTGTGTGCGTTTATCTGACATGACGACTAAAGTAAAGTGTCCACGAGTGTTTCCCAGAGAACATATTATTATTAGTACAGCGACAACTTCCACCTCTGTATCACAACACTTACTTTCATTTTGGGAGGGTGGAGAGGAGAAAAACACACGGTGTTTTGGTGAAACGGGGGAGATGGGGAAGGGTAGAAGAGAAAGGGGGGGGGGGGTTGTAAGACTGTTTGACCCTTGAAATGTTCAGACCGTATGTAATAACAGTGTGTTAAATGTGTGTGGGTGTGTATATGTGTGTTTGCATGTGTTGTTGTATGTGTGTGTGTTGGTGTGTGTGTGTGGCTATTGGATACATTTTTTGTTTTCTTTTTTTCTTTTTTATAGTTGTTTTTGCCGGGCCGGCTTTTGCTCTTGTTGCTGTAGTTGTTGTTGTTGTTGTTGTTGTTTTGTTGTTATTGTTGTTGCTGTTGTTTTGTTGTTTTGTTGTTGTTGTTGTTGTTGTTGTTGTTGTTTTTGCTACTGCTGTTATTGCTATTATTGTTTTTTTGCTATTCATTTTTGTGGGGATTTTTGAGTTTCTGTTGTTGGTGGTGCTATTGATTGATTGTTTGTTTGTTTTGTTTTGAGGGGTGGGTTATTATTGTCAGTATGACTTCTGAAAAATAGTGTCTGAGTTTGTCGGACGTTCGCAGAAAGTTCACATTGGAGCAGGTCTTCGTGAAAAGATGAAAATAGTCACAGTTCAACTCAGCAAATAAATGAACTCGCTGGGAAACCAAAAGGAACAGTAGCGATTTCGGGGCCCAAATGAGCACGCTGAAACTCGTCAGTATTTGGAGTCAAAGCAAATGTGTCTACCTGGTAATGGTAATGGTGGCTCTCCTCAGTTAGACAACGATATAATTGTTGTTGTTGTGTTATTGTTATTGTTGATGCTGTTGTGAGCGTGTGGTAGCCTATCCGTTCGAAATGGCCGTTTGGAGCCCCAAAGAGCGTGCTCTTCGCCTGGGCCACCGCCTCTCCTGGGTAGCGGGTGAGGCAGTCCAACCTCGTGACCTTGACCATCAATGATTAATTCATAGAGGCACCAGCCATCCATGTCCAGGTGCTGTTTTAGCCTTCAGTCCAACCTCCCTGGATCCTCCCCAAAGAGATGCCACCAGCGGACCTCCGTGGCGGGGCATCTCTGCAGCCAGTGTTCCAAACCTTGGGGGTCCTCGCTACACAATTAAGGACAGATTGGGTCCGATGTTTTGTCTATTCTATTTTTGTAGGCCCGTACTACGCTGTAGCCCAGAGAAGTGACCGTCAAACTGACTGGTCCTGATTTGTGCCAATAGTGACTGGTCGCTGCAGGACTTCATTTGAGCCTCTCGTTTTAAGGAAATTGCCCTGTATATTTCCTTCGTCCGCGTGTGGGATATCGGAGGGTCTTTTGTGATCAGTTTTATCTGGGCGCACGCACTTATACACTTTGGCGGCCTGGGCCCGGCAGCGCTGTTGCCTTTTTGACATTACTGTCAGCGAGATCGTTGCCGAGGATCTCGCAGCAGCCAGGGATTAACTAAATCGTGGGTTGAGGTGTTGTAAAAATTATGCGTAGTCGCATTTGGTCGAGGGATGGTGATGTTCCCACTATAGTCCGGTCAGAAAGTCGTGGCGCCACTTATCCTCAAATTATATCTATTTGACCTGTGAATCAATGTCACTCATACTTTGAACAGCAGTTTGTATCAATTTGTCTGAACTTAATCATATTTTTGTACAATAATTGAGGCTAGATCAAAAAACGTTTCTTCATAAATAAAATAGGCCTACTATTTAAAAAAATCTCCATCATGCTGAAAATGGGATTGTTTACAGGATTTCCCGCTTCTTTCACACATTTTATATACGCATATGGCCTACGTCATAGTTCACCAATGACACTTTATAGTGGCAAAACTTGTAACAAAAAAATTAATGTTGTATAGTGAACTAATTTTTTACACTAAAGGTTCTCAAAACATGCGTTCGATAAGCATAAAGTGGCGATTAGAAAACAATGACAGACTTGCTTTTAAAGGCGATATTGCCCAAACTGTAAACGTTTTAAAAGCTGTAGAAACCATCGACTTGGATTTTTTATTAGTATTTATTAAGGAATTTTCTAGAATACAGTGTACAGGTGTTCGAAAAAATACTCATTAGTTAAGACAAATTGATAAAAGTCATTGTGCAAACGTTGGAGAATCTATGTTTAATAGTTAAGGAGATATTTGACTCTAAGTTGTGCCACTAATTTTTGAACACACTATAGTGCCATGCATAGTAATTGACTGTCAGGGAAGATAGCGACCGATTTTGTTGTTGTTGTTATTGCCGCTGGTGTTGTTGTTGTTGTAGCTGTTGCTGTTTTGGCTGTTGTTATTGTTGTTTTCTGTTGTCTGTGTTGTTGTTGTTATTTTATTAACTTTTTGACATCCAGATATTGGTTTTCATTATTTCTTAACTTCAATAGACTGTCTACGAAACAGTTTATAATATTATATAATCTCGAGATCAACTATGCTTCAAAAAGATTACACTTTTCATCAAAGAAATGTGCAATAAACACTTATCAAAACACATGGCAACATCTTTATTCCTACAAATAGTATAATCTAACAACCCA